AAAAACATTCAGGGCACTTTATGAAACAAAACAGACACAGATAAATAAAAATAGAGATTAAGGTAAAAACAAAAGAGCAAAATGAACAAGGCAAACAAAAGCCGTAGCATTTGCAATCAGTCCTCTCATCCCGACCTATCTTAAAATCTCAAAACCTGAAGCAGCCAAACTCCAGAAATGAAATGGAAGCTCATAGCCACGTTTCCTTAAATGTTTAGAGCGCCTCCGTACATTGGGAAGAAAAGACAATGCAAAAATGATCTCAGCTGACCATGAAGGAAATACCTCTGGAACAAGCTGCAAAATACAGCATTTGGTGTTAGATCCAAAGAATGTGAAATAGCTCTTTTTAATGGAAGATGACCTATGGGCTGCTAAACTCAAATTAAATGAACCAGAGATTCCGCAATGTTACCTAGATTAGAACTGTTAACATTACATACGGACTTCACCCTCCTGGGTTGATATCAGTAGCAAGGCAAAGCATCAGCCAACGTTTACGCAAATAAATGCTACAATTATTCTTGGCCAGCACTTTGCCCAATGACATCTAATGAGTGAGGACATCGTTAAGGTTCTTTCCATGTACAGGCTGTCAAATAAGAACCTGAGCTGCAACAGCATGTTTTTCTTCTTTTAAAGAGCTTATTTATCCATATATTTTAAAATATTCTAGAATTCAGAATCAGAAATACGGCGTAGCTTAAATGTAGACTTTAAAAAAATTAGCTGAAACCCATATATCATGTAGGTCTGAAGCAGCAGTACAAAGGTGCCGCTGGACTCAAACTCACATCTTGGTGGTTTTAACTGTGGCCAGTATAACAAATGTGAGCCAGTCTACTGCATGTAAGCATCCAATCCTGGTTGGGTAATAAACCCTGGTTTGTCTGTTTCTTGTCATTCCTCCTAGCTGGGAAGTCATTCTGCCATCTCTGTGGCCAGGTGACTGGCAGTGATATTCAACAAAGGCCCCGGCCACACGGGCTGGAAAATGCGCGGGGGGGGGGAGCGTGGCTATTTGCCCCGGGGCAAACTAATGCGCGACTGCACAATCAGACGTCCGGTTGAGGTCCCGTCGAGGTCCCGTGGCTAGGGGGGAGGTGCCGATCACACCAAAGGCAAAGAAGCAGGGCAGGGCGGCAAACGGGGTTGTTGGGTTTTTAAAAAAAACTTTTTAAAACTGAAGTGTACGCATGCTCCGTTGGGTGCTTGTGCGCATCCATGGAGCCTTGGGGGAAAATATGACCATGGGCGGGCGCTGGATGCCACTGGAAACGCGATCAGACGCCCGCCCTTGCCCCGCGGTTTCTGGAAACTAGTACATCGGAGGTACTAGTTTTTTGCCCCGGATCTTCGACGGGAAGCCTCGGGTGAGCCACGGGAGCTCTACGCTTCCCAGATGTGGCGGTGAGATCGCACCTGGAAAATCCGCCTATCTTCCGTCTCTGTAGCATGGCTAATGCTCCGTGTGACCACAGCCTATGTGTGATTTATGAATTCAGATAGGATGATAACCCACAGTCAGTGCAGTCTATGGGTGACGGATGCAAATTTGGTTTGAAAATCCGGGTGTGGTACCACCAACCATGGTTTGATGAGCTGCTTACATTTGGACATCATAACAAACTGGTGTTTGATCCAGCTGTGCCTCATTGTGATGCTGACTGCATCCTAGATCTACAGTGACAACATTGATATTGTGGCTTTAAATGACGCAAGCAAGGATCCAAAAATAGTGCAACATGGCAAGCACTTCAGATTACAGAAATATATCACAGGATTAACCAAGGAGGCAATGTATTACAAAGTCGCTGTGATATACATGTCCTGTGGTTTTGTATTTCTGATCACTCT